ATTGCTTATCACTGTGTTGAAGTAACACAAACACTGCTTTTCTCTGTGTAATGAAACACGGCCATTCTTATCAAGTATTCATTTGATAAGCAGGCACCTGAGCACTTGAACTAGAGTTAAAGGCATGTTTCTTCCATGTCTGATTGAGGCCCTTGAAAGCAATGGGGTGGAATTTTGGTTTCAGTGAGTAGCCAGTTCAAAGCAGTTTCCTGAAAGGAGTAAGTGATGAAAGCACCTTTTTGGAAAAGCACTTTGGCAGGTGGATAGGGGATAGATTAGTAGGAGAGAGTGGAGGTAGGAATCTGGTGTCAGATAATGACAGCTTGACATAAGATCCCAGCAACACTGAGATTAAAATGGGAAACCTTCGGACAGACATCAAGATTTTTTGTTTTATGTGGAAGAGGAATAGTAAACCTGGGGAACGGTGTGACCACGCCAATAATCCACATCTGGGGAGCGCACCACCAGCTGATTACAACATTCTTCTCTCCCGAGCCCTGGTGTAACCTCAGAATCTTGCAAACATTTGACAAATACTTATTAATAAATATTAGGTATTAAATATGTGCTATATGCCAGGCACAGTACTCCCCTTATATGTTATCTCAAGGATGATGAAGTGGTTAGGAACATGAATTCTTTTTGCCATTTACAAGCTGTGTGTCCTTGGGTAAGGTCCTAACTTCTCTGAACATCAGTTTCTTCATCTTTCAATGGGGATGTTAGTTTCTATTTCATAAGGTTTTGAGGAGGATTAAATGAATACAAGATATAAAAGAAAAGTGCTGAGAAGTGCTAACAAGATTAATTGCTATATGTGTTTGTTATTGTTTATTGTTACTAATTTATGAAACAATCTTATGCAAAGGTACTATTTTAAAAAATTGAGGCAGGAAGAGGCTAGGTAAATTACTGAGGGTCAGAGGCTAGGATGCAGTGGTAGAGTTGAGTGTCAAACCCAGACAATCCAGCTCCAAAGTTTGTTTTCCTAACTTGTGTATATCCCAGTGCCAGGGACACTGATTGGAACAAGAAAAGTGAGGGTTGACCTCATGGAGATCTGGGACCCTAATCATTTCTATTGTAGGATTTGTCATCTCCTACATAGAGTTAGTACCCAGATTGTTGTACAAAATTTTTGTTATTTTTTCCTTGATGTTTTGGTATTTTGTAAATGGTGTTTTTTTTTTAATTAACTTCTTTATTAGGAAGTGTTCCAATTTGTGTTTTCACATATGCTTTAAAAACAGGATTTGTTTTATTTTTGCCTAAAACTTGACATATGCAATAATATTATATTCATCTGTGGTAGCTCTCCTTATACCTAGTGATTCCTTTGCTGGAGGCGAGAGGATATGTCTCCCTAATATAATGCATAATATATATGTTATATACATAAAACGTATAATGTAATACTATTTAACTATGTAATATATACTTTTTATACAGTGTATGTAGTGTATTTATAATATAATGTATTCATTATATACAATGTATATGTTATACTTTATGTTATATATGATACATATTATACTATATAATATGTTATATTAGGGAGACATTTGCATTATATATAAAGAATCTCTGGATAAGGAGAGATCTTGCAAATGAGTATGTTTACATTTTATTATTGGATACATATCAGTATTCTGAAAAACTTCTAAGCCATCCACCTTTGTCCATACTCCCAGAGTCTCATATTATCTCCCATTCATGAGCCACAGTGAAGTTATGACATTTCATAACCATTTTTATTCAGAATACTTTATAGCGTAAAAGCAGAGTAAATTTTAGCTGTTCTTTGACTTGTTGAAATAATTATGTCTGATTATGAGGCTAGTTTTTTTATTATTGGACCTACAACAAACTTCATATTATATTTCAACTATACTTCAATTAAAAAAAAAAGAAGCCAGACTTTAATTATAGATACGAAGACTGCTGTAGCAACAAAATAAAAAATTCTAAATTCCTCCACAACTTGTTTAGGCAGGAATATGTCATCACTGATTTCAATATTTCACCATTACATTAGTCCTTATAATTCTTTTTTCTCATAAATAATTTTCAGAAATCTGTAACTAGTATTGTTTTTTCTAAGGAGAGAAAAGCTTTTCTTGGGCTTGTATAAGGTTCATGAATACTATTTAGCTGAGGAACATTTTTTAAATCTCATCTTTAAAAATATAGTCTGCATTGTTTGTTTTACCCTCTTGTGTAAATTATACGTAATTATTTAACTAGAGTTTCTTTTAAAGGAATTATTTTAAAATTTTGTGAGTTTAAACTTGATTAAGGATGAAAGAATTTGAATTTTGGTGAATCTGGTTTTTTTGCTGTTTTTTTTTTTTAAATTTGGTGCTCTTAAACTTTTGCTCTACTTATGTTTCCGTGGTGTCACAGTAACTGAACCAAAGATTCAGCACAGGCTCATACAAGAGACAATTACTCAGGGACCCCGTCACAAATTATTCATTTTGATTGTTTGACTTGATTTGATTCTGGGTTATTTGGAAACAGGAGGCCAAGGATGACTCATTTTTAACCCTTCCAGCCTCCAGGTGAACACTGCCTGCCCTTTTACTTTTGCCGGTTCTCAGAGGGAAACTCCAGTGTGGGTCTATTTTGAGGGTGTCTCATTTCAAATTTGAATGGCTAGGGCAATATTCAACTGTGCACCTTTTAATTAAACCCTGCAGTCAGTAATGGTGATCATGGTTAAACTCAGCTCATCTCAGGACCCTGTAATTTTATTTATCCTGTTGCTAGAATCGTGTCCTTTAACACTGGAAATGTGCATTTGGATCACTGAGAAGCTATCTGGACAGGCCTTTACGCCTGTGGGTTCGTGCTTCCATCTTCTGGTGGATTGATTCCAGTTCTTTTTCCAATCTATTTTGTCCTTGAAGTGCTGGTTTATAAACTGTTGCACAAGGTAAATTTTCTTCACCAGGAGGAGCAATCAGACGTGGTGGATGGAATGAGATTAGAAAAGAGAAGCCTGGAAAAAGTCCTTCATACATTGTGTTTTTGTAAAAATGGGACAGAGAAATAGCTTACAGCATCAATATACTACTTTAAGGGGAAAAAAGATAAAAATCACTTAGAATCATTAGTGGACATGGGACTTTTTTGGTCCAATTATTGAAAACCTCAAGAAATTAAAGTATGGCGTTTGAAGGAAATGGAGATGACCACATTCATATGGTGTAAGGGTTATTTTGTCAAATGTAACGTTACTGAAAGACTCAGAAAGGTAGCTCCGGCAGGTACATCTCAAACTGGTCTCAAAAAACCAAAATGACCTCCATGCCACCCCCATAGGTAATTTTTCAGTAAGTTAGGGCAAGGCCCGGGAGCCTTCTTTTAACAACCTTTTCAGGGGATTCTGATGCAGGTGGTCAAGAAAGCACACTTAGAGAAAAACCTATTTAAGAACTAAGTCTAATTTTATATTCACATTTATGCTTCTGTTTTTAAGTTTTCTCTCTCTCTCTTTTTAATGGCAGTATTGGGGATTGAACCCAGGAACTCGTGCATGCTAAGCATACACTCTACCGTGGAATTCTACCTACCTCCTGTTTTTAAGTTTCATGCATTTATTCCTCCTGAATTCTATATGCATTTTTGTGTAATAACCTATTCATGAAGGCTGCCTGGGAGTTTTTATAGTGGCACCTATCCTGTGTTTAATTTTCTTATTAATACCTGTTATTAGGTGGATGAAATCAGAAAACCACAAAGTTGGTGAGAATTTTTAGAGAGATTGTTGCACTGCCTTCCAAATAGATGTTGGGATGGGATAGGGCAGGGGGAATTTGATCCAACAGTGAAGTAGAGGGAGACTTACAGATTGGGGTGCAATGGAAAACAAAGCCTGTAATCACAAGAAGGTGTTCAGACCTTTTCCGGTGGGCACTAGGTTACCGGTTGCTTTTCTGAGCAGGGGCCTAGCCTGACGCAAATTAGCCTTACACCTGAGCTAGGTGTAAGGACACGCAGTACTTGGTCAAAAACAGAGGATTAAGCGTCAGGCGGGCAACACTGTCTCATTTGTCACCAGAAAGGCAGAAGGGAACGGGGTGAGCACTTGGGACCTCGAATTTGCCGGGCTGACTGAAGGGTCCACACAGCAGAGTTCCCCGCTCTGTGTTCCTGAAGGTCTGTACCCAGTGAGCTGCTCTCTCTGGCAGCTGCACGTCAGGGTGTGTAACACCAAGGCCACCCAGGCCAGTCATCTGGCCAGAGGGCCTCTCTGGGTTTAGAAAGCCCTTGAATAACCATTTCAACTACGACTATCTTCATGACACTGTGAGGCAAGGAGGGCACAGTTATTCTCACCTTAGACCAGAGAAACAAACCGAGAGAGTAGTTGCTCAGAATCCACCCATCTGGAAACTGGCAGGGCTAGGCTTCCAACCTGGAACTACCTCCTCACCATCTACAGGCTTAAAAAAAATGTATAATTTTTCTGATTACCATGTGATTCATACTGGTAACAAAGTGTACAGAAATGAATGAATTCAATGTGAAATCCTTCACGAGTCCCCTCTTGAGAGAGCAGCTGAGGAAAATCTAGTGTGCGCTGTGCAGACTTTTGGCTTGCAAACACCCACGTGCATTTAAATGCGTATGCATTGGTGCTGCAAGGGTGGAGCCATGCTTTACATGTCCTTCTACAAACTGTGTGTGTTTTTTCTTAACTTAATGCTTTAACTTGGACAACTTCTTGGTTCAGTGCACATAGATGTGAATCTTTTCTATCGGCTTCATCTACTATAGAGATTCTTCATTTCAAATAACCCCTTTTGGATGGCTACTTGTTTCCATTTCCAAAATTTTAATATTTTTAAGCCATGCTGCAGTGGGAGAGTGTGTATGTGTGTGTGTGCGTGTGTGTTATTTGGGCGGGAGAGTCTATGGGAAAATCTTTTTGTTTTAAGTGACGTATAGTTGTTAGAATAGATTAGTTTCAGGTGTACAACAAAGAGATTTAAAAAAATATGGAACGCTTCATGAATTTGCATGTCATCTTGCTTAGGAGCCAAGCTAATCTTCTCTGTATCATTGCAATTTTAGTATTTGTGCTGCTGAAGTGGGCACTATGGGGAAATCTGAGAATTGGAATTGCTCTCTCAGTAGGAGTGCATATCACACACACACACACACACACACACACACACACACAAATTGTCAATTTTTCCTCCAGTTCTTAACGATATTGAGTATGATCAGTCGTGTGAATTCTATCAATCAAATAAATGAAAATACCTGTTCAAATGAATAGTTTCTTATCTCCTAGTGAAATTAAACATTGCCATGTGTTACTTAGCTTCTGATATTTCTCTTATGACTTGTTCACTTCACTGGCCCATTTTTATTCAGCTCTTTATCTCTTTCTTACTGTTCTGCAGATACAGAGGTAGTAGATATTACACCTGTCGCATATGATGCAAACTTTTTTCCTTTTGTTGTCCTACTTGTTGAAGGGATTTAAAGACACTAATTAAACATTCTAAAATATTTTATTTTAAAATAATTACAAATTTCCAAAGAATTGCAAAAATAGTACACAGAATTTCTGTATATGCTTTACTCATTTTCCCCAAATATTGACACCTTACATAATCACAGTAGTTATTAAAAGCAGGAAGTTAACATCATTACAGTACCACCGTCTAATTTACAGATTTTATCCACATTTCACCAGTGTCCTTCTTCTGGTCCAGGATCCTGTGCGGGATCACGCACTGCAGTTGGCTGTCATGTCTCCATAGTCGCTTTTAATCAGAAACAGCCCCTCAGTCTTTCTCTGTATTTCATCATCTTGACACTTTTTAAGAGCACAGGCCAGTTGTTCGGTAGAAAATCCCTCAATTTGGGTTTTTCTGATATCTCTTCATGCATTCATGATTAGGAGTGTGACTTTGTCTGGATGTGGTCAAAAATATGTTGCCTGAGGAGGAGATGCTTAACCTGGTTCTGGTAAGATGCAGAGGAAGTAGAAATGTGAAATGAGGGTGGGGTACATCTGCATAGACCATCTTAGAGACAAAAAGATGCCAGTGTGGAGAGGAGGGGTTGCGAAAGAAGGCTGATGAGTTGGCAGCTGGATCAGACCCAGTTTTGTGGGACCTATTAAGGGTATATGATACTGACAGTAATGGAAAGCTCTTGAAGGATTTTAAGGGAGGGAATGACAATATCTGAATGGCATACCTGTTGCATGTAGAATTACACAAAGGGGAGCATGATGGAAACAAATAGACAAATGAGAAGGTTATTCTAGTGATGCAGACAGAGAAAAGAGTGACAGATTAGGGTACCGTGAGGAAGGATGGTGAGGAAATGCAGATTGCAGGCATTATTTTGCCAGGTGACTCTGCAGATATAAGTGGTAGATTGGATGGGGAGTTGAGGGAGGGAGAAGATGCAGGGTGGCTATTTCCAGGTTTGCCAGGCTTTGTGTAATTGATTGGATGTTGATACCATTCACTGAGATGGGGGAGAAGTCAGAGCACTGCCATCTCCACATCCTTAGATGCCAACATTTACAATATCTTTGCCTGCTTATTCTCCTGTATCCCAGTTTAGCCACTTAACTTCCCAGTTCTGGGTTTTTTTCTTAGAATTTCTCCCAATAGCCATTTACCCTTCACATTTTTTTTTAATCACTCTCGGTCCAGTCCTGGGGTACCTCACCCATGTTGCACACTTGCCTCCTCTCTGAATTGCCAATACCTTTACTGAGGTATGATTAACAGAAACTATTTCAATTGAATAAATATGTACTAAATGCCTAAGTACCTAAGTACTAAGTGGGCAGATCACCTCATTGTGCAGAGTTGAGAATTAAATAAGAAGCTAAGCAAAACTGAAGAGACTCGGGGCCATTTTGCCTAATGGTAAAAAGAAACTGTATCCTTGTCATACTCCTTATGTAGAAATAAATTCCACACAGATCAAAGATACTTATCCAAAATTATCTAACCATAAAATTACCGGAAGGAAAGACTGGTAGACCTATTTTTAAAATTTTTTTATCATCAGTAAGTTTGAAGACCTTTTAAAGAATGATGAAAAACCCAGTTACCATAAAAGAAAGTACAGATTCATTTGACAGTGTGAAATTTTTAAATTTTGTACAAAAATTAAACAACCTTCAACCAAAAACTCCAACTAAACAAATGAAAATAGAAAGAAAACTAGAAGCAGAAAATTTACTATTTTCAAACGCCACAGTAGTAATTGCTTCAGGTAAGAATCATCTTTGGATGCTAAAATGAGTGGGCAGAAGTATATTTGAGTATTCTCAAAGTAACTCCCTGTAGGATATTTGTAATTACAAAAGAAAAAATAGCATTTTTACAGGAAGAAACTTGACAGACATAAAACAAATGATCGAGGTTAACATCACACATAATAGAGCAAGTCCGTGTCTCCTGATGCACTGAGGACACACCATCACTCCTCAGGTATTTTTGCCAAAAAATGCCTAACTTTCTCTGTTTCTTATATTTTTGTCTTTGTAGCAGTTACCATAGTTTTAATGATCTATTTGTGCAGATAATTGTTTAGTATCTTTGTACCTCTGCTCCCAGCAGAGGGTAAGTTTCGTAAGCTCAATATTGGCTGTCTCTTTGCTCACGAGTTCCTAGCAGGAAGTAGGAGCTTCATAAATAATGTTGAGTAAATAAATGAATGAATGAATTTACTTGGAGCTGATCCTCGTGGGAAAGATGTATCTAGCCTTGGAACTATTGAGTGAGAAATCACAGTTGGATGTCCTGGTGGAAGTGGGTGGACTGAAGACACAGTGCTCAGATGAAGCCTTAACTGAAGCCTTGAAAGAAATGTGTCCCATGGAATAAAGGTATGTTAAGAGAAAAGACAGAAGACTAATAGTTTAGCTGCAAGGTGAGGGAAGAGGGAGGAAAAAGGAAATACCTCTACTTCATTTAGAACAAGGCAGGAATTTGTTCTAAAGTGGGGCTATTTGGCTGATCAAGGTCAGGCACCCAGGAGGTTATTTGTAACTGTCTTAGAGCAGTTCTATCCAATGCAGTGAGGCTCACATTTCATTGTACCTAAAGATCTCTTGGGCTGCCTGAGAAAAATAGAGATCCGAGGGGCCCCCTTCCCAGAAATTCTAACTCGGTGAGGCTTAGAAATCTGTTTTTTGTTAACAACCAGTCTCCTCCCCAACAGAGTAATTATGGTGCAGGTGGCCCAGGAAACACACCCAGAGGAAACTTTACATCAGAGTAGAGGGATGTCAGCTACAGAGAAGGAAAATCAGAAGGAAGTGAGTGTGGTGAGCAAAGAGGAACTACGGACTGCCACTTGGTAACGACTTTGGCAGTATATGGGGCTCTTGAAGCATTTAACAGTAACCTGCCATGTTGCTGCAAATGACATTATCTCATTCATTTTTAAGGCTGAGTGTTCCATGTCTTCTTTATTCAGTGACCTGTTGATGGACATTTAGATTGCTTCCATGTCTTAGTTATTGTAAATAGTACTGCTATAAACATTGGGGTGCATGTATCTTTTTGAATTAGAGTTCCCTCTGGATATGCCCAGGAGTGGGATGTCTGGATCGTAAGATCCTACTGTATAGCACAGGGAACTACATTCAATATCTTGTAATTACCTATAATAAAAAAGAATATGAAAAAGAATATATATTATGTATGTATAATGGAATCACTATGCTATACACCAGAAACTAACATAATATTGTAAATCAAATATACTTCAATTTAAAAAAATAAAAAAATTAAATTAAATTAAAGTAACCAGCCAAGGAAAGTTATGGAGGGGCACAGCCTATTTTGATTTTGTCCCCTGCATTGAAGAGATTGTCTAATGCAAAACCAAAAATGTGACTGCAGCTGTCTACTGGAACAGATTGAACAGTTAGATTCCTGTGGCTAAGGAACATTGGAGAAGCAGTGGGTGAAGTATTCTAGTCCAGAACTTTGCTATTGAAGGTAGTGCTGGACTAAACTCATCTTGTTGAAGTACTGCCGTTAGGAAATTTATGAAAATTAAGTAAAATTGATTAAGAATGCCTAAGGACTGACTTCATCTCTGAGCGTCAGGCAACTGGCTGGCAACAAAATGATGTTATTTTAAGAATGTGTTTCTGACTCATTATGCTTCATTGAATTAAATAATTTCTGGATAGTATTTTCTTAAAAGCAAATTGCAATAAAAAGGGAAGTATGTTAAAGTGTACATTAAAAGTTAGTGGCTTTTGAGTGGCTTATCTTTAGAATACATTATTTCCAGGAAATTTTGATATTTCAACAAGATAACACATTTAAGCTCATATGGATTTATGATAACAAATTAACTGTGTCCAAATATGAATTTCTCCCTGAGACTTCAAATTCACTTTCCAAATGTTTTATGAAGATATTAATAGAACCATTTAAAAATACAACAAAATACTAAATTAGTACATTTATAAGCATATGAAATGCCTTTTGAATACCACAATTTATTTTTGATTGAAGTATGCTTAATTTATAATATTGTGTTATTTTGAGTTTGTAGAGCAAAGTGATTTTAGTTATACGTACATATATTTTTCTGATTCATTTCCATTATAGGTTTTTGCAAAATATTCAGTATAGTTCCCTGTGCTCTACAGTAGGTCCTTGTTGTTTATCTGTTTTATATATAGTGGTGTGTATCTGTTAATCTCTTACTGCTAATTTATCCCCTCCCCCTCTCCCTTCTTTGGCAACCGTAAGTTTATTTTCTATGTCTGTGAGTCTGTTTCTGTTTTGTAGATAAGTTCACTTATATATTTTTCAGATTCCATATGTAAATGATATCATATAATATTTGTCTTTCTCTGTCTGGCTTACTCCACTCAGTATGATAATATCGAGGTCCATCGGTGTTGCTACAAATGGCATTATTTCCTTTTTTTTTGTGGCCGAGTAATCTGAATATCACAATTTAGAATTTATATTAAAAACCAGCAAATTTTTGAATTGAACTGTCTTGGTAGAATAATTATGCACTTGAATTTCTTAACTATCTATTTCAGGTGCTCGGTCCATAGACATGAAATCATTCTGCCTAAGAAA